GATAGATAGATAGATAGATAGATAGATAGATAGATAGATAGATAGATAGATAGATAGATAGATAGATAGATAGATAGATAGATCGATCCTGTGCTGTTTTTTTCCCCCATCATGCTGATGAATGAAGCTTCCATGGCTTCTATCAGATCTATTGAACATCTGCTGGAGAACCAGATGTTTTCCACCGCTGCTTGTGGGCAGCATCAGAAGCCCTTCCAGTGGGGGGGGGAGCTCCTCCCAGCTGGGGGCCACTGGTGCATGCATGCAGAGAGGGGGTCGTCCTCCAGAGGTGCAGCAGCACCACCTCCTCCCCCTGCCTCTACGTATGAGCCGTCACGGTGCAGACAGAGGCTGGAAACATGGCGGCGGACGGGATGGTGCTCACCAACCACGACCATACGACCCGAGTGGGCATCCTGACGGGTAAGCTGCGGCTCCTGGGGGCCCTGATCGCTGCACATCCGGCCCGTTTTCTGCTGCCTGTCACGATTCGGGCTGAGAGGCTCGCAGAGCGCCTCGGCTAGCAGCGGCTAACCGGGGGGGTTCGGTCCGGTTCGGACTGATGTGGGCTCGGTTCTGTGAGCGGCTCGGCGGGGAATGGGTGGAAATCTGCATTCAGGCATTATTAGTTTGCTGAGAAATGAGTTTGATGCTGGAATCTGAGCTTTTTCAGCTATTTTAATCTGGAGGAGAAACCCCGGTCCAGACTTTCAAAATAAAAGATGTCGGCCTCCCTCCGCGGGCCGCAGCCGCTCAGATCCAGACCCGGGCTTTTATTTTGAAGGTGGCGCCGCGCCGGAAGTCTCCCTGCGCCGTAGCGATGCCGAACCGACACGAGCTGCATTATTCATGTCCCTTTGCAGAGGCGCGAGGCTCCGGGACCTCCAGCAGAACCGGAACCGATACTCCAGCAGAACCGTACCCGGTCCTCCAGCATCTTCATCACGACACAGTGCTGGGGGGACTGGGACCAGTATGGAGCAGAACCCCGAGGGGGGGGTCACATGCAGTCATATGTAGTCACGTGTTCCTCATGTGGAAGACCTTCAGAGTCCTGAAGTGTTTCTGATGGAGGTCCTCCATGTTGCTCCCAGGAGGTTCTGCTGAGCCATGCTTTCCTCTTATTCAGTTCTGGTTCGGCGGAGCAGCCGTTTCTGCAGAACTAATGGGGTTCTGGTTCTGTTTGTCGGGCCGGTACCAAATAAACAAAATGTTCTGCTGGTTCCTGTCGTCACTGCAGAGTTCGGACCTGGTTGGATCATGAAGGGTTCAGGTCCAGACTTGGACTAGGACACTCCAGCCCTTGGTCTCTTTGGACCCTTCAGAGGTTCTGCTGCAGAACCCGACTTGGACCTTCTTCAGTCAGAGGTCCAGATGGTGGCAGCCCAGAGCATCATACTGCCACCACAGCTGTGTTGCTAGCTGTAGTCCCGATGTTTTGGATGATTCTTTCATTAGCGCCAGTTAGCAATACGCGGGAACGCTGGACTGATGAAGAGGAGGAAGAATCCTCCAGACTTTCAGAATACTCACCCCCCCCATCCCCTGTGTGTGTGTGTATTGGGGGGGGGGGGGTAGACTATTCTGAAAATCTGGAGGATTCTTCCTCCTCTTCATCCGTTTCCTCTTCCTCAGTCCTTGTTGCTAACGGGTGGCATTCTGATCTGGAGTAGTAAACCGTTCGCCGCTTCTTTCATGTTCGCGGTTCGGGGAGGAGGCGCCGTCTGGTGATGCTTTTTCCAAACCTTAATCTGAACTTTGCTCATCAATCATGCTGTTCCTTAGCCTGACGTAGTCCGACTCAATTCTAGTCAGAATATGAGTCTGATACTGC